AGTTGGTGGAGGGCAGGGGCTTGGGGATGGAGGGAGACTCCGCGGGTGCCCCCCAGTGTTTCTCCCCCATTACCTGATCCTGCTCCAGGATAGTTTTGGAAGACTTTGGAAGAGCAGACTGGATAGGGGACGCTGGACCCGGTTTCCAGCACAAGGGCGTCACTTCAAAAAGATGACTGCTTATAAAGTAGTATTTAAGGGACGCTGGACCCGGTTTCCAGCAGATGACGCTCCCCACCAATAGACGGAGCAGACTCTCAAAAAAAGTTTAGAATGTCAGTTGATTTCAGCTGATTTCAGTGCAGCTCATTTCAGCCTTTTGTCTGTTGTCTCAGCTTTTTTCAAACACATGCTATTGCAGAGTGCAAAGACACAATAGGCGCCATGAGGATAGTAGGTGAATGGCAGAGGCTAGGGGAGGGAGGGAGACTCCACTGGTGCCCCCCGGGGTTTCTCCCCCCAATACCCAACCCTGCTGCAGGTTAGGTATGGAAGAGTAGATTGGATATGGGACGCTGGACCCGGTTTCCAGCACAATGGCGTCACTTTCAAAGATGTACTGTTTTGTAAAGATGTATTTAAGGGATGCTGGACCCGGTTTCCAGCAGGTGTTGCTCCCCACCAATAGATGGAGCGGCCCGCCTGGCAAAGCCTCAATCCCGGTGGTTCTCTTACCACCACCAGGATAGAGGCCTTGCACAAGGGCCTTCGGGGAAAAAAAAAAAGAAGAAAAAAAAAAGAAAAACGATATAGAATAAAGACATACATTGGTAGTTCCTGACTGTTGGATATAGTTACACAACATGGTATAAGGATGCTGGACCCGATTTCCAGCAGATACAAATCACATTTGTGTAATACACATTACATCATGATTAGGGTTTCGCCTGATAGGATTGATGTCTCAGTTTGTTTGTGAGGTTCCATAGATCAGATGGATAGGGATGCTGGACCCATTTTCCAGCACATACATTCACACCATGGCACACGGACGCTGGACCTGATTTCCAGCAGGTGTAGCTCCCCACCAATAGATGGAGCCTTCGACGTTCAACTTGGGGCCTACTTACCTGGGATGCTCTCATCACCTCGTTAAGTAGGTT